ACCCCGGGCTCAGCCCCGTGTCCACCTGCACACGATCGAACACACCGGCCGCCGCCATGTGAGCCGTACGTCAATGGCGAAATGGTCAATGGCCGCGAGGTCGCCGTCGCCGTCGCCGGCGATCGATCTATGTACGTACGATGGGGGTGGTGTTGTTCCAGATGCGGGCGAGGAAGGAGGAGCAGAAGGAGCGGCCGACGGTGTGGGCGCCGGAGAGGACGACCATCTCCTCGGCGGTGAGCGACTTGTTGGCGAAGCTGGCGACGAGCTGGGCGGCGGTGAAGGTGGGCTGGGGGAGGTTGTCGATGGCGTCCTGGGCGACGGAGACGTTGCCGTCGCGGCGGCCGGAGGGGACCTGGTAGGAGACGCCGCCGGTGAGGTTGACGCTGTCGCGGGCGGCGAACGCGACGATGTCGGCGCAGGACACCGTGCGCGCGCAGCTCTGCTCGACGGCGGCCTTGGCGGCGTCGATCACCTGGAAGCCACGGAGGCTGGGGTTGTTCGGCGCCGCGTCGCGCTCCGCCGTGTTGTTGGGCGACGTCAGCAGCACCGACGCGTCGCAACCCTGACACCCACAAAACCGGCAAGAAAGTAAATAAAAAATACTGTTGATTACTGTAAAATGGTGAGATATGAGACTTCGTTTACCTTGGTAAGAATATAATCGAATCGGTTGAGATACGCGCGGTTCATAAGAGCAATCATAATGTGACAAAAAAAAACCAGGTAACAAACATTTAATGCAAGCTTACTACCTAGTAAACATCGTGGAAAGAGATAGTAGTTACTACCCGGTATTTGTGCTATTGCCGACAACAACCAAATAAAATATAAATATTTTTACAGGATCTAGATAAAAAAGGGTTGGGATGGATATTTTTTAGGTGGACCCACTTTATTTATCACTGTACTCATATAAGCATGTGAGAATTGTTACCGCTTACTACCTCTAGATCATAGGACCCACCTTACTAACTAGTTGGGTAATATTCATTGCGCATGTCCTAAGTTGTAAAAGTATGAAGGAATAAAAAAATAGAAAAATTTTTATATCTATTTTATTTGCAATTTAAATACCTAGTAGGCTGCAAAATAGACTAGGAAGAAAAATAAAACCCAAAATCAATTTTAAAATTTAAACTTTAGTTAGGAGTGATAAGCCAACAAGCAGATCGCTAAAAGCGAATCACCAACAAAATCTCAAAATAAATCGCATTCCTGAAATTTAGATATTTTTATCGAGAAATTAAATTCAAACAATTGTTCCTTATGCGCTCAATAATTCAAATTTCTAACCCCGGTTTTCTTGTTCCCCACATCTAGGAGAGAGATCATTTGCTCCCGATCTGTGCGCGAGGAGGACTCGCGCGCGGCGTCAAGAGGAGATCGTGTCGTACGTGCACTGCCCAAGAGTAGACGGAAACACCCGGTAGGAGTGGTCAGCGGAGGAGAGAATGATTATGTTGTGTTGGGATACGCGTAGACTATGATAGCATAAATTAAAATTTTCTATCGCGTAAATCAGGAACCATGCAAGTATTAGATCATAGATCGTTACCACTCGACGTGCTGCGCAGCAGAAGAAGACGCTGAGAAGTCGAAGGAACTCTCGCGAAGTAGCGCGCGTCGATGTAGAGGAAGTAGTCGATCGCACCGGCTCGACCTTCTCCTCCTCGTGCGTTCTCCTCGCCGTACTCCCACGCCGATCAGCACCGCAAACCAGCGGTGCCTCTACCGGTATCCACACGTACAGGGACGGAACGCCATGCGCAGATGTGCTAGCACCCGCGCGCGGCTAGGGTTTTGCTCGGGGAGGGAAGTGATGGCTAGGGTTTCTCACGTGATGCAATGCCTCCGCCGGTCACACCCCTCACGAATATATATGATCCATCACTCGGGTCTCCAAGGCCCGTAGGACTCCTATTTGGATCCCTATCCGAAATTAAGCTCATATTGGATCTCTATCCAATCCCCTTATTCCGGCCCATTAAACGTGCGACCCTGTAGGTACATATAAACTCGGTTGTAACCCGAAAACTCCTTTTCGGTCCACGCGTCAACAACGGCCCCTAGCAGAACGTATTGACCCACCGGGCATATATAAAAATCATATCGGCTGAACCTCTAGTGTATACTTGTATGAACCCCTTTGCCTCACAATATCGATTAAGCTCAAGGCTAGATATGTGCCATCCTCTAATAGCTCAATCATTCACTCGAACCTGTCGATAGATTATATAACTTGTGATTGACTCCTCAATCACCTTTGGCATGGCCATGCACTTCCATAATCTACAACATTGAGGGGCCCAGAGATATCTCTCCATAGGAGGGGCAAATCCCATCTTGATTATTCATATCCCACTACATATTTCATAGCATACCCGAAAACTACTTTTATAACTACCCAATTACGGAGTAGCGTTTAGCAGTCCCTAAGTAAGCTACTACACATGTTAGGAACCATGATAATCTTAGGTCTAAGAATTCAACACCAATACTAAATGAGATCACTGATGATACAACACATATGGCTCTTGCAGTGTCTCATGTTGGGTCTATCCAACAACATTTTCACCAACATGTGTCTATATTATTAATTTGGTATCTCTATACCATGATCCATGAGACATGATCATCAATTAATACATGTGCTGATTATCTAAACATATTTGTTCCACATATGATATTTGATCAGGGATCCTTTAGAAATAACAACACACAACATAAAGAGTCTCATGAAAGAATCACATATTCATTAACCAATAATGAGTTTATCTATTTTAAGGAACAAAGTCGGATAAATATGTAAACATAGTGTGTGATACAATCATCTCTATAATTGCCTCTAGGGCATATCACTAACATGTTGGTACGCTATTTCTTTGGAGAAAAGGTGTTTTCATGTCTTAAATTTTAGAGGTTACTAAAAAGAGATTTAGGAGTCTCAGTTTTGGATATATGCTGGCCATGCTCTAAACATATTGGAACTTTTGTTTTAAAAAAAGGCAATACCTATTAATCTTGCAAATTTATGGCTCTAAATCTTATATAATTTTTAACTAATGATATAGCCCGTTTTATTTGAAATAACCCCAAAAAAGACATAAGCATATCAAAAATCGTAAATCTAGAGGGAAAAATGTTGTAAAATCTAATTTTGGTGCATTGTGCCTTAGTGCAAGTGCTACATAATTAAGTGTGTAAGTGTTGTATATATAACTGAGTGTAAGTGCTATGTAACTGAGTGTAATTTGAAGAACACGAATATTGATGCAATATCATGTGGATGAAAAAGTGAAAGATAGAAACTCAAAAATCTATCATATTGTTAGGTTTAGTCCCACATAGGTAATTGATGATGGGGGAGCATGACTTAAAAGGTATGGACAGTTCTCACCCATCAGACTAGTCTTTTTGGTTGTGTAGGCTCAGGATTTAAAGTTGTGGTTCCGGTTGGGTCTGTGATGGAGCAGACCCAATGTGACCTGGGTGGCCCACGGTTGGTGGATCAGATTGCGCACTCTAACAAGTGAATTAGCAAAACCAAAAAAACATAGTGCAATTCTACGAAGTGGGTAATCTGTTTTGCTCACAAAAACTAGCCGTATCCCGTAGTTTATCCAGCGGTTTCCGACTTGCTGGCTTAATTAAAGGTTCAAGTTGAACACGTTTATGTCTGACGACGATGAGTTAGTTTTTTTTCTAAGAAAAGTCCAGCGAATTAGTTGGCCAGTCACTATCTCTAACTGGCATCGATCTCCTCCATATAATGATTTCTCCCAGAAATCTGTCTAGTAGTAGAATCTAGACGAGATGCCGACAATTGAGCATGGACATGAGTACAAGCAACCATATTAATTTCAGGTTGCCATGCATGGATCCACTATCTGAACAGATTCAACTATGAATAACCTGTTCCCTACCTACGATGTACATCGATCCCCATCTAAAAGAAAGACAAATCCTGATTGCATATCCAGATTCATAACTAGAATTAGATTATTCTTTGGACAGTCTGAGTACTATACAGTTCAGTTAACTATCCTAGCTAGCTGGACCATTTGCACAGTGAAATCGACCAGACAGAACATGCGTGAGATGCCATTGTCAACAATTGATTCTAATCCCTCGAAGGTCCTGCGGGCATACCTTTTTAAATCGAATTCAATATGAATGATTGTGAAAAATTTTAGAAAAAAAATGAGAATGTAAAGTAGTGACATTTATCAATCCGCTAAAAATAACTCTAATATTAATTTACACATCGGGATAAAAACAAGATAAATTCAGGCGTGAATAGTGCTAGGTATTATCAATACATTGGATTTGTCTTTTTTTTTTCTTCGATGTATGTGTAGTTTAGATGTACGATTTTGTGGAGTAATATATAAATGTTGTTAAATTGTTTTATAACAGTTTGAGTGTTGTGTTTGAATAAAGGATTAAAAATATTAAGGGTTGTTTCCGTGCCATCGAGATCTGCGTGTGAAGGACAGGAAAAGTCGAAGGAGAAAAATGCAGTGGAGAATATTGGGGTGGGCGAGCAGGTAGAAGAATAACGGAACAAATGTGTGTTGGCTGTGTCGACATCTAATGTCATTTCTAGCTATCCTGTTTATCTGGACGCTTTCTTTGACTCGACTCTTGATGAGAGCTAGCTAGCTTTCACTTTTTTTACTTTGATCTTTTCTGCTATTCGAGAGGACTTTACGCCTCTCTTGTGTATGCTGGGGTTCACTAGCTGATGACGGATTATGACTTTTCAAGATTTCGCTATCATGTTTGACAGCAAAAAAAACCTTAGTTGCATTATTGCACCTGTAGAGTTTTTCCCTAGCTATAATTTACAGTAGACTGCATTTAAAAAATCTCTAAATTAGAGATGAAAATATATAGCACCACGGAATTCTTCTTCCGCTTTCTCTGACGATCTAGTTAATTTGAATAAAAACTAAAACTAAACTTGGAAAGGAAAAGAGAAAGAAGAGGAAACATACTCTGACGAAGCAGTCGTGGAAATGGAGGCGGATGAGGCCGGCGGCGATGCCGGAGTCGTTGGCGAAGGCGTTGGTGACGGCCTGCCGGACCAGCGTCTCGGCATTGGGGCAGCTGGTGTTGTAGAACCCCACCTGCAGCTGGCCGCGGCTCGCCGCCGGCAGCTGCAGCAGGCACACGCCCAGAGCGACGGCCACCGCGGCCACCACACGCTGACCGGCCATATCTTTTTGCCAAGCAAGCTCTAACTGGCAAGCTAGTACTGTGGTGAGAGTGTGAGACCACACATTGGACAATAATGTGAGGGTTTATATAGAACTATAGTGTACTACTAGATTCCAGTGATTTTTGTATCTCATCGCACACAGTTCTCTAGGGGAGTGGGAGCATGATGAATTGAAGGAGTCTTTGGCAAAAGCTATATCAAGTGTAGCTAGGATAGTAGGATACCACCATATACAATCAACACGGCCATATGGTTGCATGTTGTTTTTGCTTTGTTTGATTTAATTTAATGTAGCTTTTTTTTCTTTTTCCCAGAGATAGAAGTATAGATTCCGTGTAATGTATGTACTTTAAAAAAGGTACATATTGTTGATTCTCTTGTAATTTAAAAAAGGTCCCTCCACAGATGATATTGTTGATTTTTAGATATACATATGACCATTTGTTTTTTTTTTGAAATATGCAAACATGCAATTTATGCTAAAAACACATTTAATAATAAACCAAGTCACACCTGCAAAATAAATGATAAATACGTAACTTTTTTTAATAAGATGAATGATTTATAAAGTTAAATAGTGTCATCTATTAAAAATATTAAAAATCAGAGAGAGTACTCTCTCCGTACTTATAGAGGAAATCGTTTAGGACAATGTTTAACTCAAACCATGGGAATATAAATCATAAATAACTCTCAAGTTATTGAGTTTGAAATATAAAAATTATATGAATACATTTGTCTTGAAAAACACTTTCATAAAAGTATACATATATCACTTTTTAATAAATATTTTTATAGAAAAAAGAAGTCAAAGTTGTGTTTTAGAGACCGTGTCGCTGTCCTAAACGACTTCTTTTATGAGTACGGAGGGAGTATATATTAGCCTTCTTTGTTCCACTGATTTAATCTTGCGAGCTAAAAATTATCCAACTGTTATTTAACTTACATGTACGTCCGCTTATAAAAGTTCCCCTTGAGGCTTCTATACAGGTAAGCACAGTGCTGGACCTAGAATTTTACCAAGCTAGCTTCCTTAATTACTACTCCCTCCATCTCATAATAAGTGCTATTGTAGGACTAAGTGTCACCTTATTCATAATTTTTCCCTCGATCCACTCTTTAGTCAAATTTATTCTCATCTTACTCTCTACGTACGTACCTTCCCACTCTTAACCCCATCCATTTAATGAGGGGCATTTATTCTTCAATGTTAGAATTTCACTTAATTAATATGGAACCGAGCAAGTAGTTTGAAAGAATACAATCAACCTTAAAGAAATGAATTAATTAACTCACTAATGCAAGGAAAATATTCAGGCTTAAAATATAAAAACAATAGTAACAGATTGTTATGATATAATTTTCATAAGCATATATATATTTTAGAAAATATTTTGTTTTAAACATATACAATGAAGAGTGTATCATTGCTTTCATTGCTAAAGTACTACATTTTGGAACGGGTGGAATTGAATGAAAAATAACAGAGGAATAGAAGCTTTATGTTTTTGTATGCATGGTTGCTTTTGCATGGACATGGTTAATTATGCACTTGGGAAAAAGCTACAATCCAAATTTGTAATGTGTACCATCAGATCTAACTACCGAAGGAAGCCAAACAAAAAAGGCGATTTGAGTAGGTACGGTTTAACAAATTTTTGTTTTGCCCATTAGATGCTCATGCACTTTACTGTTCGTTAGTTTCCATGCATGGAGATACAAGAAGAGCTTTCGTTTGTCACTTTAGTTGGTTTTCTGCTTCTTTCTGTTATTTTACTCTTTCTTTTTCCAGTCTATGTCGATATCTTTATTGACTCTTGAGGGAGACATTTGCATGGTACAGAGAAGAAGTCCGATGAATGATTCCCAACTCCTACATGTGGCAGAACATGATCATGTTAACATCCACTGTTGACAAAGAAAAACACAGGGTGTTTTCAGAAAAGGGTGTATGTAATCTAGCCTAACAGATCAGTTCATATATTCTCTCTTTTCCTAAAGGTTGGCAAAAATGATTATGTTGTTCTATCAGATATGATCGATCCTTCTCTTGCACTCTTTCAACATATATGGATAAGCGCGCCTAATCTAATACTACTTCATATCTACAGTAATCTGTCTGCTTTGTGACCCTTTAATTGATTGTGTCCTATATTAGTAATATGTAGTGTACCATATTGTCTTGATCCACATGCTGATAGATCTCTGCCGGTTTTTGCTCGTTTTCGTGCCGACCAGTGGCATGCAAGTTTAGCCTTTGATAAGTTTCTGCTCGGTTGCTTGTGGCAAGCATGGAACCCTTTGATTAATTAAGTGATTAAGTACTTGATGGATATATAAAAATGGATATATCGGTCGTTTGCTTGTTCCAACAAGCTAGCCAAGTTTGCGTTTGTCCGCTTGTTGCACAGACGCAGCGATTGAGAGGAGATCGAGATAGATACAGTATTTGGGTTGGGATTGGTACGTGCGTCAGACCTGGGAATATCTGCACATGTCACCTTGCCTGGCATCATATGAAGGCCTTCATGTACTCTCATGTACAGTATATGTTTATTTTACGTCCAATCCACACAATATCAATACAACATCAAAAAAATTGGAATAACCTCTTTTATCTAATCTTAATTAATTATTTCTCACTTTAACTACATCTAATGTATTTATTCACTAATTTCACAAATTTCGATAAAATAATTATTTACAAATAAATTTATTTTGAGATAAACGAGATGATCTAAAAATAAACCTACCTATTATGGAAACAGAGAGAGTAGAGGTCTATATGATGACGAATGAATTTATCATTAGCACATCTCCTACTTATGACTTGGTAGTAATGCTGTTTTTAACCCGTAGTGATACCGGTTTTTAAGTTAAGTGATCATATATATATACTGAAAATGGTATCTCGAAAATGAGAAAGAACACATCTAGAGCTTATTGAAATAGTCCTTTTAATCCCTATGTAGTAGTATGATTTTTCTTAAAAAGAAAATCACAGTTTTTTTTTTAAGAAACACACTTCAACGTAGGTGCTCATAACACGTTCACACCTACCATTATAAGCGCACATACGCACACCATATCTCTATAAGCGTCTTCAAAAGACTAAACCATCATATCTTGATATTGAGAAAGTCACTACGGGTTCCTCGCTATCGACAGGTGTTGGAATTTTTTTCTTAAAGGAAGTCACATTTTATATTGTTCGTCATTTCAGTGAATACTACTTTTTTTCCCTCATGTGCATTGTATCATGTTTCTAGAGATATATACATGGCGATACATGGAAAACAAACCCTCTTATTGAAATAGTCACGTACTTCTTTCCAAACAATTTTGTTATTCAAAATTAGATGTGATAAAAAGATATTCGACCTATGTTATCACATCCAGTATATTAGCACACCTTTGCGGTTTGCTTTATTATAAACTCGACTAAATGCTTCTGTTTGTCAAATAATGACTCATGTAAATCTAATAGAGAGGTGCATGATCCACGTTGTTGACAAACTAGAATTGTTGTTTGCTTTTACTTTTGCTAGCACATGATTTGGAATTTTTTTTTTGTGGGTAGAGACGACGAACTGGCCGGAATGATTGAGTGAAAGTTGCTTCATCGATTTGGTAAGAGCCATTGTCGACAGTCCGTACAAAATTCAACATCAGGAGGCATTCGAGAAATTAAAAGGAAGTTGATTGACGTGGCAAGCTATAAGCTGGTTTTGTGGTAATTAACACAGCTGTGCTTACATTTTGTGTATTCATATAGAGGCATAGAGCTACATATATAATTAACATAGTGTTTGAACTTATGCATATGGTGTGCATTACCACATGTCAACATGTGCAGTTTTCCACCCTGAGATTTGTATTTGGTACACTTTCTTCAGTTACACGCATCTTAATTGTACTATGGCAAACTCAATGGGTCTACAATAATTGACCGTAAGGTTGGATCCGGTACATGCTTGGCATATTAACGCCAACTCTACAAAGGCTATCATTGTGGAGTGGAATTAATTAAGGTGGGCCTACTGTATCCCATTGAGCCTCAAAAATAGTGTTTTTGTCATCTCTCGATCGGTGAACTCTCCTTCACACGAGAAAAAAATAGTGTGATCACTGTCAAACAAGAAAAATAAATAATTGTATTTTTTTCTCTTGTGTTTAAGGTTAATTTTTGAAGCATGAAGCTTCCACAATGGTTAAAGTGTTCCATTTATTGTTTAAGTTTTTTTTATATATATAGTGGATGCCTTAGTTTATTTTAATACGTAGAATCATTTCTTATAGATAATAATCGGCATGTTTTACATCTCATATTTTAAGTCTTCATAGAGTAATCATGTTTGGCAGTATGGAGGAAACAAAATGAGCTGTAGGTAACTTTTTTTTCTAGTAAAACTTCTTTAGGTTTGATTAAGTTTATAGAACAATTTATCAACATATATAACACCAAATTAGTTTCATTAAAATTAAAATTTAACAAATTCTGATAGTATGATTGTTTAGCGTTAAAAATATCGGTAGCACTATTCCGCGCTCTACAGCGTGAAATATTAGTTCGAGCGCCGCACAACGCCCTCTCCTTCCGTTTTTTTCCTTTTTTCCCACCCACCTTTCCTCCGCATCCCACCTTATCTCGGTTCGTTTTTTTCGTTTTTTACCACTCCACCTTCCGTGTTTCTTTTTTCTCTTTTCCATCGTTTTTTTGGTTTTTACCACTCCACCTTCCATATTTCTTTTTTCTCTTTTCCATCTCATCCGTGCTTTATCAATGGGCCCGGTAAAATATTAACCATCCAGATTTTGTTTTTTGTTCGTTCTCTATAATTTTTCTGTTTTCACGTTTTAGTAAAATATTTACCGTCTAGTTTTTCTTTCTGAGTTTTTCGTTTTTCTAGTATCTCTGCACGTTTCAAAAGTAACGAATTTGCTCCGTGGAGTTTTTGATTTACTCCCAGCCTCCCACATCTGCTCATTCAAAAGTAACAAATTTACTCGCATGAATGCCTCCACATTTTATGATGCCAAACCTAGTTGGTCGTAAATGAATTACTACCAGCTTACAACGCTAGTAATTATTTTACCAATATTATAAATATTGTTTAGATTTTGTGGTCAGTGAG